CGGGCGCCGAGACCGCCAGGGGCGGACGGGCGGGGAGAAGGCTAAGAAGCTGGGGCCGGGGACCGCGGGCGCCCGGGAGCCTAAGCGGAGAGGACGCGGGCCGTTGGCCTGTGATTTCAAGGAGCCCTAAGCTCGCCTGGCAGCTCGGGTCGCTCGATGGGAACCCTCCAACCGGGCCCTTTCCTGGGGACAAGCTGAGCGGGGAGCATCGGCTAGGGAGGGGGAGATCTTTCGCTTAGCAGAGCAAAGACGGTTTCAGACTTCAGGTCGACATTGCACTTCTTGCTGTCTCAGAACAGCTGGGGACATCTGGAGCCCGTCCAAGAAAACCCGCATACAGGATGGAGACCCCCTTTCGAAATGCGGAAAGGGACTGACGCTCCTGGGACGCGCGCACGGCCCTATTCACCCGCCGGCGGGAGTCTAACCCTCCCTTTCTCTGATACTCTACTCTGTCATCCCCTCCCCCCAAAAGTCCCCGGTTACAGATTCTGGGATGACTGTATCCGAGTCGCTTCGGCCGGCAGATGCGGCGGGACTATCGCTGTACGCTGCTCTGCCTCAGAGAAGCGGAGGGAAAGTAGGGGATTCTCCCCAAACCTATGGGGCGGGGAGGAAAGACCGCTCAGAACTGCTGGGTGGGATCAGCTGGAAAAGGATCGCGGCGTGATTTCAAGGAGCCCTAAGCTCGCCTGGCAGCTCGGGTCGCTCGATGGGAACCCTCCAACCGGGCCCTTTCCTGGGGACAAGCTGAGCGGGGAGCATCGGCTAGGGAGGGGGAGATCTTTCGCTTAGCAGAGCAAAGACGGTTTCAGACTTCAGGTCGACATTGCACTTCTTGCTGTCTCAGAACAGCTGGGGACATCTGGAGCCCGTCCAAGAAAACCCGCATACAGGATGGAGACCCCCTTTCGAAATGCGGAAAGGGACTGACGCTCCTGGGACGCGCGCACGGCCCTATTCACCCGCCGGCGGGAGTCTAACCCTCCCTTTCTCTGATACTCTACTCTGTCATCCCCTCCCCCCAAAAGTCCCCGGTTACAGATTCTGGGATGACTGTATCCGAGTCGCTTCGGCCGGCAGATGCGGCGGGACTATCGCTGTACGCTGCTCTGCCTCAGAGAAGCGGAGGGAAAGTAGGGGATTCTCCCCAAACCTATGGGGCGGGGAGGAAAGACCGCTCTGAACTGCTGGGTGGGATCAGCTGGAAAAGGATCGCGGCGGGCCCACCGGCTCCTCTGTCCTTCCAAGGAAAGCGCGGGTGGCTGGGTGTGTTCAGAGTATGTTTGTCTTCTGGACAATCCTGCTGGTAGGTTTCACGACTCTCTGGAAGGCTGGTGTGATTTAGAGATTTGGGATGATTGAGGGAGTCTGACCTTTATCAAGCCTGGCTTTCCGGCTGATGCTCCACAGATTTTAGCAAGGGTGGGTGAAAGAGCGCCCTCTCACCGACCCTCGCTCTTCTCGGCTCCTTGTCCCCGTCGCTGACTGCAGCTAGCCAGCAGTTAACGTTTGCTGCCCAGTTTGGGGGTGGGGGTTGGGGGAGGCACCTCTTCTCAGAAGCTCCTGTCTCCTCAGTTGATTACTTTAAACTCCATACTTTAAAAAACTTGGCTTCCTCCAGCTAAAAAAAAAAAAAAAAAAAAAAAAAAAATCTCTGGGAATTTCCACAACTTCCCTTGAATGTTTAAGAACGTTTAAGAATTTCTGAATGTTAGACCTGTTTGCATGGAATGAAAGCACAAAGTATCAGCACTCAGAAATGTCAACCTTTGAACCTCTAACACTTTTTGATTTATAATAAATTCTTTCCAAAAAGACGTAGGAGCCTTAATGTAATCGTTAGATCTGAAGGGGGGAGATCTGTAAAAAAGTAAATCACAAATGAGCCATTTAATACTTGCAAGTTGTTTAACATTAAAATGATAATATTTGCTTCCACAATAAAAAATCTAAAGGTACTTAGCCAAGTTTCAAACTACCCAGGCTTTAAAGAGTCAACCCTCCCCCAATAAAAGGTTAAAACAAAAATCAGATTGAAAATATTAAGTCACTTACGTTGTAAATAAATTCATTATACTCTCAGAACAGTGAAAATTAAAGACTGGCATCAATAGACTGCTTTGATTTATGTTGCTTTTTCTACTAATTAAACAAAATTGACCCCCCCCCCATTTTCTTTTTCCCCACACACTTTTCTGGTGTTAATGGCAAAACATCTATCAAATATTTTTAGAATTTCCTCTCCTCCACAAAAAGAGAAAATATAGACACAGGGAAAATAAATAGTCTTTATATACTTGGAATACAGAAATTTCCTCATAATTTATTACTTCACCTTTTCCTTGATTTACAATCTTCTCTGCTCTTCTGGCCAAAGGAGGGAGATCTTCTCAGCAGTCTCTTCCAGAACTAATTTGTTGTTGTTCTTCAAAAAAAGTAAAATTGGGTCTTAAATGAATGAAAAACTTCTCGTAAGGAGCCTTTTCTGGTCCCACTAAAGGCAATTATTAGAAAGCAGGTACCTCTTCCAAGCTGCCTTGGAGACTACTTTCAGTAGAAATTCTCCTCAATATATACCCAGGACCATGACTTTTTGCCTCTCCTGAAATGGATATCTTCTGACATCATAATTTAGCTCCTAATATAACTGAGTAATCGCCATGATAATGCTAAGGACACATGACTGCAAATGGAGTCCTGATCTCCTGGGTTGATGCCAGCCCACATCAACCTTGTGCGAGACCACAGAGCGAGTTCCGATTTCCAAGTTCCACCTGGCTCAGACGACAACCCCTAAACCTGAAACCGTCCTTTCTTGAATTTTGAGCTGGGGTTGCCTGGAAGACGCTGCCTCCGGACGTCGCTGAGACCCTGGGGGCCTTTTACCTCCCTACCACCACCCCCCGCCCCCGCACCTCTTGCAAAACCTGCCAACTCGCAGTCTCTTCCCCAGGCAGCACGGGGACTAAGGTGCCCATGCTCTCAGGCAGGAAGGCAACCACACACCCACACTTAGGCGGGACGTTGTGTCTATTGCGCTTTGGGCTGGTGAATACGGTGTCTTCGGACCTTGTCTACCTTCCCTGAAATTTTTGTCAGAAATAGGGCTGCGGAGAGCAAATGTGAAAGTGGCCCGCTTCCTCTCTGCGGTCTCCTGGCCTCCTTGTCGCGTTCCCGATGCCGCAAGGGGAGGCCGAAGTCTGTGAGGGTCTTGGTAGAGGCATCAGGGTGACCGGCACTCCAACCTCATGCGACAGACTTGAGTCGCCGTGTGTAGACGATCCCCAGGTGGGAGGCGAGCTTGATTCCCGGGGGTCTCAGGCTTATGGAAATCTCAGAGGCCTGGGAGCCCCTTAGCGCGTCTAGCCACGTTCCCTGGGTTCTGGCCTTCTCTCCCTAACAATCTGGACTCCCGATTGACGCACGGAACCGTTCTGCCCGGGGCGGTCCTGTTGGGACCCCCGCGCTCCACCCGGTCGGGCCGGGTTGGGTGTGTGGTTTCGCCCCGCGGTGTAGTCCGGGTTTCCCGCTCAGCGCGTCCCCTCCTCCCGGCAGAGCTCCGCACCTGGCTGCGAGCGAGGGAAGCTTCGGGAACAGTGTGGCCCGGGGACAGCGACAGCGGCGCGCGCGCACTTCCCTAGAGCGGGCTCCCCCTCCCTTCAGACGGTGGCGATGAATTGCGGGTGGGAGTCGCGGGAGCGCAGAGCGACGCAGGAGTGCCGCCCGCCGCCCACCGCCCACCGCCCGGGCACAGCGCTGTCCGGGTCCGGGTGCGGGTCCGCGCGGCGGTGTGCAGGAGCGACCCCTCCTCCCGGAGCCCGGGGACCCTGTCGCTCTCTCCCAGCCCGTCTGTTTCATTTCATTTAACACGATCCGCAGAGCCAAGGCCAGGAGAGGGGCGGCGCGGGAGAGGAGAGGAAATGAAGGGACATGGAAAGACGTTCTTTCTGCCAACTCTCTCCGTCTGATTCTTAGAATCGGTGGCACCTTAAAGGGCTGATTTGAGGGCAAAGAGATGGCGATTAATCCCCGAAATCCGCTCTGTCTATATAGAACTGCTCCGTGGTTGCAGTTGGAGGTCGCGGGGGGCGTAGACCGTGGGACACATGGCATCTCTCCAGGGCATAAACATCAACCTCGCTGGTGGCTCCTATGGAGTTTGTAAACGGCGCGGAGCGGGCTGGGGGAAGCCAGTGAGCTGTCCATGGTGGTTAAGACTCCTTGACGTGCGTGCTCGGGCTGTCCCAGCGAGGCGCGGACCCCCCACCCTCCCCACCCCGGGGGCCGCGACGCCCTGGAGCCGAGCCTGCCCGCGACCCGTCCCGTGCGAGCCCGGCAGAGGCTGGACGTGTTCATTTGCACAGCACCGGGACGCGCTCTCGCACAGAGGGAGCATTCCAGAGAGAGACAAACAACAAACAAACAAACAAACAAACAACCCCCCCTCCAAACTGTATCCAAACTGTGGGTTCCCTTTTAGCTCTTTCCTGAAGGTGTCTTTCCTCCACAGGCACCATGTCACATGCTTTAAGAAACGTCCATCCATCTCAGCAGCTTCGCTCCCTTCCCTTTTCTAAGGTTCTGTTCTCTAAAGAGCAGGAAGCAAGTTGATGATCTTGTGTTTCTCGTGTTAAAACATTCACGAATTGACCACTACATTTGCACCATGTGGTATGTCCACAACGCCCCTCTAATTGAACGGGGGTACTGCTGCTGGTGATTGTCAGGTATCTCAGGGATTTCCGGGGGGGGGGGAGGCTTTGTAAAATATTATTGTTCAGAGGAGCGACGTCATTTTTCACCAAAGTCCTGAGCAGTGTCTGATTGCCACTCTTACCAAAGCAGGAAACAAATAGCCATGGGAGTTTCCTTGTAGGCGCATTCTCCCTGAGGTACAATTCTGCTCAGTTCCTATGACATAGTCTTACAAAGAAGTGTTTGGGAACTTAATTAAGTTCTTATATATGTTTAAGGCAAAGGATGTTTTGCCTTTTTAATTATCACCACATTTTACCTTTTTGTCCTTCAATTTCTCCTGGCAATTTCCCCTTACTCATCTGTATTAGCAATCCCATCTCCGTCTGATTGACGAATTATCTTAAATACTACTCCAAACTACTAAATATTGTAAATATTTAGAACTCTTATTTGCACTCTGTGCCTTTATTTATGGGGATGTAATAATTAACATACAGTACACAAGATACTTTTAAATTTATTTCTGTACAAGACACCGGATTGGAACACATCTTTGCTGCTTTTACCCTTTTTTCTTGTTGTGGTGTGGTACTTAGAAAAAAAAAAAAAGACATGTGTGTGTGTGTGTTTGTGTGTGTGAGAGAGAGAGAGAGAGAGAGAGAGAGAGAAACCTACAAACAACTCTGAGAATGCCTGATGTTAAATAGAAAGTATTGTGATTCAATGATTTATAATAACTTTTCTCTTTTGCAGTCTCTGGGTCTATAATATAAAAATAGTCAAGGAGGGAAAATGGAATTATTTCTATAAATTCTTCTATTTTCTCAAGTCAATAGGAGTGTGTAAAATATTTTACTTTCCTTCTCTCTATTTACAAAAATTTGTGAAATAAGGCTTGAATGTGTACCAGTTCCTTGAAGAGTATAAGAACCAGTATAATATTTTATTATTATTATTTTGCAATTTAGACATTTAGTTTTGTTCTATGAATTCTTTGGTAGCTAGCCTTCCGCTATGCATCTCTTTATCCCCTATTCTATGGAAGAAGAAAGATATAATGATATAAATTGATTTAATTCTCCTATACTTTATCTGCTCATACAATTTAGGGTGCTTTTTTGGCTTGTATTGTTTTATCCTCTCTTGGTAGCTTAGCATTTTTCTCTCTCCCATGGCAATACTAATTGACAGTTTTCCCTTTAAAGTTTAATCTAATTTCCCTCAGTTTCTTATTTTTTAAAAAAAGTTTTCTCTGACAGCTTTTTATTAGATTTTTAAGATATCATTCTTTTATCCATTCAATTCAATACATTTATTAGGGAAAGTGTAAGTCCTTTCCACTAAAAGCTGCTAGACTGGTTTTTATTTTCCTGCTCTCAAGAGGAAAGCATTCAGTTAGTAGAACTGTCCACAAGCTAACAAACAAACAAAGCCTCATCAGTCTCTTATTTGAGCTCTTCCTCACCAATGAGCAAACACTGCTATGAGCTCAGAAGAGGTCCTCTGAAGATATATGTGCTGTCAAATTGAATTGAGATTTTTTGTACCTATCTCCTCATTTTTAAGACATGAAAACATATAATTTAATTATTTTAGAACCGTTCCCCAAAATTCATATATAAAGCTCTTCTTCGATCTGTTGCTGGGAACATTTTGTAAATCATATTCTTTTAAAAATCGTGATAGATTTGGTGGCATTCTGTGTCTCATGTAGCCTCAAAAGTCTTGCTTTCCCAGTGCTTCAGGCATGTAATTATTACATACTTTCTTGAAGCTATTTCTCCTTTCATGTCATTTGTTCTCTTCTCAGAGACTGGTAAAGGAGAAGAGAAATCTGGACACTATGCATCATAAT